TGCTTCAGCTGCATGTTTATGTTAAACATCATGTGGTGCATGATAATCTTCCTTTGCCCGTCCTCACAGTAAAAACAGCTCTGAAGGCCTGTTCATTAAGTCACATACCTCATCATTACAGAAGGTAGTCTAACCACCAAGGAAAATACAGGATTTTTTTTGTCTGTTAAAAAAACAACAGATAATTCAACGGACAAAGCTAGCAGAACAAATTCGAAGCTTGTGGGAAGGGGATAGTGGAGAGATGAAGAGGAGTAGCAGAGAGGAGGTACAGAGAGGAGACACCAGAGGTAAATCTCCATTGTGAAGTCAAACTTACATTTTGTCACTTACAGCTATAAAATGTATTTATTGGAACTTTTCGCAACATTTTTGCAGGAATGGCTATACATATTTGGCAAATACTGTGATAAAGCCTTTGAATCAACCCTCATCTAGTTAATAAAACCTTTGCTAATTTTTTTAAGCCAATGAATAAATAAATACAGCCTAAAATCAACTTGTATCTATAATAAAACCTCAGTACATATCAGGGGAAGAATTCTCTAAACAAAGACGAGGAAAAGCCAGAGCCTGTACAGCAGCTTAAAGTGAAGCTACAGTATTTACTGAAGGGTTGTGGTACTGTTTCACTGCACCAATGTAATATTTATATGAACTGCATGCAGTGGGATTCCCTCTGTATCAGTAAGAAATCTGATTTTTCTTCTCTCCCCAGGCTGCAGGTGTGAGAGCAGGGCTGTAATTACTAAGGGTCTGCTGCTCACTGCCCTGCAGCCCCTCACTTTGCTCTTCACACCAGTGTTGCCGGGCAAAGATATTAGTCATTGCTCTGGTGCATATTTTCCAACTCTCACCTGCCTGTTGGAAAACCCAGGTTTAGCCTTTGGATTAAGTCCATTCAACATGTCACAAGATGACAACACGCCCAGTTTGAATAGCTCAATAACAATGTATTCATACCAGTGTAGGTCCAAGACAAATCCTTAGGTGTCTGACTCTAAAACCTGTTAAACTGCTGACTGTAATTTATGAGAAAAAACTGCTTTACTTTATTTTTTCAAGTCTTGTAACTTATTCTGGTTACAATATACAAAGCCAATGAAGTAAACTTTCCAAAGTCAGAAAGTACCCCCTTGAAAACAAGTATTTGTACTTTCCCCATACAGTATTGAAATCAAAGCACATCACATCTTTAAGCCAAACCTGTTGAAATTATTAAAGGTCTAAAACTGACTTTGACTTGTCAAAGAACTGAACAACTCGACAAATTAGGTATTACAATAAGACACCTCTAAAATGAGGACATCTCCTTAAAACTTTCTATGTACATTTAACTTATAAAACAAAGCCAAGAAAAATGTTTTTCCTACATGACAGGGAGTACTTTTTTACAAGTTTTAAGCCAGTTCTCCAAAGATATGGGAAAGTGTGTAGGACACTAACTCACGTGTAGACAGGCAGATAGACAGTATTTAACTGGTAGCCAAAGGCACCTTTTGTCTCAAACACACAGATCCAAACAAAATGAAAAGACTGCTATCAACCAGCAGAGTGGTGATTACAGAAAACAATGTCCTTTTGTGAGAGTTCAGCAGATAAGTGGCTCCTGATGGAATGGATACAGAATTCCTCCTGTACATGCCCAATTGTCTCAGGATGGAGCACAAAACTAACCAGTGCCTGTCAGGTAAGTACTAACTTCTGCAGCATGCAAGTGTGTGTGTGTGTGCCCATGTGTTTGACCAGGGGCTCGGCAGCCCAGATGAAGTCTGCCACTTATAGCATGTGTTTACTTGGGCCCACAAATGTCTGTTTAAATGACTCCTGGAAATGGTCCTGTCTGCACCTGAGGCTGCAGTGTCTGCTGTAGCTGCAAATGAGGGAAAAAAAAGCAGCTGCATGGAAAAAAATAGTTGAAAACATGGTAAAGTGGCCGTGAACAGGTCACTGTGGAACAAAAGGGCATAGGATCACTGCTAATTTACTCACAGGGATTTGAGTGCAGCCACGCACAGATGCTCACACGGGCACAGCTGCACTTACTGTTGGTCAGATTTCACAGACCAGCACAGTCAAATGGGAGAAATTGGGTTTTACTGCAAGTTTTTCATTAAATAACAACAATGTAAGCATCAAACTCGGGTACAGTAAGGTGACAGTTAGGAAAACATGTCTGTAAATAAAGAAAGAATAATCATTCCTATTTCTGTCGTGACAATGCAGAAACGATTAAATTGTAAACTTCAATCTCTGACTTAAAACTTAATTTAAGACGCAACGCCCGATTATAATAATACATGCATACCAACAGTAATCTGTAAGCTGTATGAAAAAAAGCCCAGCCTCTTTACAATGATCAATCATCTGGACAGATCACCGTAATTATTTTTGGATGAAAGTGACATCAAAATTTAAAAAACCTCCTCCTGCCGCCTCCTCACTTCCCCTGATTTCCACTCCTCTACACGGCCACACATTGTCACACGTGTCATACAGCGTGCGTGTGTCAACACTCACACTCACTAATAGGAATGACATTAAAAACCTGGACATTTCAGCCCTTTTCACTTTGACGAAACAGAGGAAACAGAAAGTGCTGCCTGGCTGCTCGTGAATGTCAACTCAACTATTAACGGCTCCTGTGTCTTAATGAATTCAGTGGAATGCCGTGAGGACCTATGCCGTAGAATTTGCTTCTCTGTGTCATAACTTTAACAAAGTTTTTCTTTCCATTCTGCACATTTTACTTTTTTTTTTTACACATAGATCTTTCCTACTGTATCCTTTTTATATATTTTTTTTGTTCTCTTATATTTTACTATTTCCTGCCGCTCCGACTTCATATCCAGATGTAGATCATTCGTGTTTCTTTTTTTTCCTGCCTCCTACTCTCCTACTGTGCCAAGCACACCTGGAACTTCTGGCAGAATATACCACAACTGTTAAGTCTTTTTCTTTTAAAGATCAAATTGTTCTTGTTGGAACACAAACAAAAATCCTTTTATTTACTCTAATAAAATGTACCACCATAGAGCAAAAGGTTTGCTTTTGACCAAAAGA